GTCTGGTGGAGGAGCCAGACATTGATCAAATGATCATATTAAAAAGCATAAAACGATCACTGGGATGTTCTGAAGGAGATACATAGGGTTGAGAGTCTCTATCAGGGAGTTTGACATAGTCTGGGGAATCCAGGACAGCAATCCCGAGGAAGTGAGCTGAGACTTGAGGTATGTGTAAGAGTTAAGTAGAAGAGGAGCATTTGGGCTAAAAGGACAGCATGTGTGAAGGTTCTGTGGCAAAATGAAAAATGGCAAGGCCTCTAATGATCAGTGCCTTCGACTCCCCCCACCCCAGCACATCTAATCCATCAGCAAATTCTCTTGGTCTACATTCAAAATATACCCAGAACCTGAGCACTTCCCACCTCCTGATCCTTATTGTAGCCTCCTAATTCCTGTCCCTACATCTGCCCTTGCCCCCAAACCCATGGTCTCTTTTCAACACATTGGCCAGAGTAACCCTGTTAATACATAGGTCAGACCATGCCCACCTCAGCATAAAAATAGGGCCCGGTGTAATCTGGTCCCTCTGCCAACCCATCTTTCATTATCAAGGATGCATCAAACTCACAGACTTTTCTGCTGGCTGTTCCTCTGCTGGAATGTTCTTCCCAAGATACTTATATTTAGTTCCAGGATTTTTGTTGTTGTTGTTGATTCTTTGGGATTTTCTACACAGACAATCAGGTTGTCTGAGAACAAGACAGTTTTATTTCTTCCTTTCCAACCTGTAATGGTTACTTTTCCTCTCCCACTCCAGACAGGTAGACAGGTGTCTATTCAAAGGGCATTTTCTCAGGGATACCTTCCCTGCCCACCCTACCTAATACTGCATTCCCTTCCCCTGCTTCCATCCCCTGAAATCCCTCTCCCCTGCCCACATTTATTTTTCTCCATCACGCTTTTCACCATCTGATATACAGAACATTTTACTTATTTATCATCTATGTTCTCCAACTAGTATGTAAGCTACCCGAGAGAGCACATTTTAATCTATTTTGTTCATTGTTGTATTGCAAACCTGCAACAGTATTTGGCACACAGTAGGTGCTCAGTAAATATTTCTGGAAAAGTGAATGAATTTGGCCTTTCTTAGTCCAACCATCTTTGGTAACCAGCTGTATCTGTGAACATGCTATTTATAAGTAATTGTAACAAGTGCTTAGACAAGCATTCTTTTAAAATCCATCTTAATAACATTTGTGTCTTCTACATGTGGTGCTCTGGGACATGACCAGGGTCTTGTTACTTGCTCTGGACTTTAGTAGAAGTGGAGGTGCAGAGAGTTTCAAAAGTTAAAGCCGAGCAGAACTTCTGACATGTAAAGAGTTTAGAAGCTGTCATTCCTATCCTCACAATAAGAAAAAAAAATCTAAACTAAAAATCAAAAACTGGAAATTAGTGGAACTCAGAATCATTAGACAATGGAAGTCACAGGGCAAAGTGCTCCCTGAAAACTGGAGAGTCAGGTGAATACAGAGAATCACAGTTTACTGGGAGCAGAAGCCTACAACTAGAGTCAATATCAGTAGACACACTAACCTGTAATTGAATTGTTGAGGGCTCAGTGTGGACTAGCTTGCAGTTTTAAAACTCCAAAGAGTCTAGTCCTTTGGGGGCCCTCATACTTTTATGATTTTTACCCCCAGGAACCCTACCAGATTCTCACTGTGAAAATCAGAGGAAAATCTGCTCCTGCTTCTGGCAGTGGGAGAGGAAAAGCAACCATTATAGACTGGAAAGAAAAAAATAAAACTGTCTTGTTCTCAGATGACATGATTGTTTATGTAGAAGATCCTAAAGAATCAGCAAAAAAGAACAAAAAGAAAAATCCTGGAACTAAAAAACAACTATAGCAAGGTTGTAGGACACAAGGTTAATAAACAACAGTCAATTGTTTTCCTACATACCAGCAAAGAGCAACTAGAAATTGAAATTTAAATGTAACACCATTTACATTCACATAAAAAATGGAAATACTTTAGTATACATCTAACAAGATATGTAAAAGATCTGTATGAGGAAAACTATAAAACTCTGATGAAATAAATCAAAGAAGAACTTAATAAATATTCCATGTTCATGGATAGGAAGATTTCACTACTGTTAAGATGTCAGTTCTTCCAAACAAAACAAAACAAACAAACAAAGATGTCCATTCTTCCCAACTTGATCTATAGTTTCAACACAATCCCAATCAAAATCCCAGCAAGTTACTTTGTGAATACTAACAAATTGATTCTAAAGTTTATATGAAAAGGCCCAAGACCTAGAATAGCCAACACAATTTTGAAGGAGAAGAACAAAATTGGAGGACTGATGCTACCTAACGTTAAGATTTTCTATAAAGCTGTAGAAATTAAAACAGTGTGGTACTGGGGAAAGAACAGACAAATAGATCAATGGAACAGAACTGAGAGAACCCAGAAATAGACCCACACAAATAGAGTCAACTGATCTTTGAAAAGAAGCAAAGGCAATTCAATAGTCTTTTTGACAAATGGTGCTGGAACAACTGGACATCACATGTAACAAAATGAATCTAGACACAGACCTTACACCTTTCACAAAATTAACTCAAAATGGGTCATAGACCTAAATGTAAAATGAAAAACTATAAAACTACTTGAAGATAATATAGGAAAAAAATTTAGATGGTCTTGGGTTTGGCAATGAGTTTTAAGATACAATACCAAAAGCATGATCCATGAAAGAAAATTTTGATAAGTTGGACTTCATTAAAATTAAAAACTTCTGGGGTGCCTGGGTGGCTCAGTCTGTTAAGTGACTGCCTTCGGCTGGGGTCATGATCTCAGGGTCCTGGGATCGAGCCCCGCATCAGGCTCCCTGCTCCGCGGGGGGCCTGCTTCTCCCTCCCCCACTCCCCCTGCTTGTGTTCCCTCTCTCACTGTCTCTCTGTCTGTGTCAAATAAATAAATAAAATCTTAAAAAAAGATTAAAAACTTCTGTCTTCAAAAGCCACTGTTAAGAGAATGAAAAGACCAGCCACAGTCTGGAAGAAAGCTTTGACTGCAGAACACATATCCGATAAAGGACTGCATGCAAGATATACAAAAGAACTCTTAAAACTTAACAGTATGAAAACAACCCAATTAAAAAGTGAGCAAAAGATCTGAATACACATCTCACCAAAGAAGATATATTGATGGCAAATAAGCATATGAAAAGATGTTCAACATTATATGTCGTTAGGAATTGCAAATTAAAACAACAATGAGATACCACTACACACCTACTAGAATGGCTAAAACCCAAAATACTGACAACACCAAATGTTGGCAAGGGTTAGAAGCAACAGGAGATTTTATTCATTGCTGGTGGGAATGCAAAATGGTACAGCCACTTTGGAAGACAGTCTGGCAGTTTCTTGCAAAGCTAACCATAGTCTTACCAAATGATCCAACAATCATATTTACCCAAATGTGTTGAAAAGTTATGTCTACACAAAAACTGGTAAGCGAATATTTATAGCAGCTTATGAAATGAGAAGCAACCAAGATATCCTTCAATATGTGAGAAGATAAACAAACTGGTACAACTATACAAGGGAATATTGTTTAGTGATGAAAAGAAATGAGTTATCAAGCCATGAAAAAAATGTTAGCCATGAAGGAAAGTTAAATGCATATTGCTAAGTGAAGAAGCCAGTCTGAAAAGGCTACCTTCTGTATGATTCCAACTATATGACATTCTGGAAAAGGCAAAACTATAGAGAAGTAAAAAGATCAGTGGTTGCCAGGGTTTGGGGAGAGGGGAGGAGGGATGAACAGTGGAGCACAGGGGGTTTTTAGGGCAGTGAAACTCTTCTGTAAGATACTTTAATGGTGGATACTTGACATTTTGCATTTGGCAAAACCCACAGAACTGTACAACACACACATTCACACAACCCCTAATGTAAACTATGGACTTTTGAAGTTTATAACAACATATAGCTTTATCGGTAGTAACAATGTATCGCACCAATGTAAGATGTTCATAATGGGGAAAAGGGAGGAGTATATAGGGACTCTGTATTTTCTGTTCAATGTTTCTGTAAATCTAAAACTGCTCTAAGAAATAAAGCCTATTAAAAAAAATTTTTTTTTTTAAAGTTAAGGCTAAGTCTTCATGGAAGGAACTCTCGGCTCAGGAAAGACTTGGAGCTAACTCATGGGGAGAGGGGCACCCACCCACTAGGCTACTTCCTGTAGCAAAGCAAAGGTCCCAGAGGCAGTTGAGCACTGGGGACAGAGACCAGGGAGGAAGGGCTGAGGCCCCTTCCAGGCATGAGCCTCCTCTGACCCCACCAGCCTCCCTCTTCTTTCTCCCTCTCTCTTTCTTATTATGTTTTCCTAGAGTATTCCCAGCAACAGATTGGGGTTCTGGGGGTGGAGAGAAGCCAAGAGATTCCTAGTTGGGAGCCCTGTGCACCGACTGCCTGTCAGGCCCGCATCAACGGAGGGACGGGTTTGAGGTGGGGGTGGGGCGCACATGTCTGGTTCGCCGGCTGGGAGTCCCACTCTGAGGGGACTCGCTCGTCCGGGTCTAGGTCCCGTGGGGGCTGGCCCTGAGTCGGGAATATGCGGGAAGTGGTTACCAACAAGCCCCTTAGTTCCCGCTCCGCCTCTCCGTACTGTGCAGCAGGGCTCTGTAGCGGATAACCAGAAGAGGGTGCTGGTCCGACGGACCTAGGTCGGAGTTCTGACCATGCCACCTACTGTGTGACTTCGGGCAGGGGACCCACCCTCTGCACCTCACTAACTCCTGTACCATACGGAAACTAAGTGTCTGTTTGGAGAGGCGAGGAGGCTGTACGTGGAGATTCACAGAATGACGTGGGGAGAGACCTCGCTCGCCAGTCCGGCAGTGAGCATCGGGCCAGCGGCAGGGCAAGGCGCCCGGGCGAGCTTGTGAGCTCCGACTCAGGTCCAGGCCCCCGCAGCAGCTGCGGCTCCCCGGGCTTCAGCCTGGGACCTTCCGCCCTTCCCGGCACTTACAGCGGTCACTCCGCTCCTCACTTCTAAGGCCAGAGCAGCTCTGTCTCCTCTTCCGGACGCCTGCACGCGCTGCCCCGGCAACCGTCACCAGGGAAACCAGAAACGCTCTATGCGTGACGTCACCACGTGTCTACGGAGGCCGACGGGGCTCCGGGAGTCGGAAAAGTGACGGCGGCGTTTGTGGCCCAGGTTGAGGAGGTGTGGGAATAGGGGTGGTGGGCTGGGTGGAAAAAGGCGTCGTGTGCCTGAGACTTTAAAGTTGGCCCAGCCATCCGATTCTGGAACGTATGCTTTAAAAGTTTCGTCGGCCGAACATTTTGGGCAGAGATGCACATTCAGTGGTCCTGTAAGGGAGTTGAAAAGTGAATGATCCCACCACGAAATGTGACGCATGCAGAATGTCTTTGAAAAATATGGGGGGAAGTTGTGTTGTGACGGTGAGTGAAAAAAGCAGGACGCAAAATAGCAATTGCTAAATAAAGTTGTGTTTTTTAAAACGGAAACAAGACTGTGAGGAATACATAGAAATATTAAAAGAAAATGGTTATATTTGGATGGTGGAATTACAGTGCTGTTTTTATTTTTGCTTGGGGGATTTATGGTTTATTTTCATCGTGGAAAACACTTGTATGTTTGTTTTTTTAAGACACTGCCCAACTTAAGTCACTACTATATTCAGGCTATATGGAAGCGGGAGGCAAATTTCTATGAAAGGAGATCCAAGGAAGCTTTCCCAATATTTATCGAGGCCTTCATGATTTGAAAATGTCCAGACAGCTCATAATTGCTTTTATTTTTTCCTCATAAGGCATTCACTCCATAGACATTCACGAAGATGTGGCACCAGACCACATTTTGCAACATCAATCAGAATATTGACACTGATACACCTATCTTATTCATGTTTAATTTGTGTTCATGTTTGTGATGTATTTTGTCCTGCTCAATTTTACAACGTGTAGGTTTTCGTACCCACCACCACAGTCAGGACACCGAATACTTCACCACAAGGATCCCTCTCTTGGGAGTTTATAACCACATCCGCATCCCTCCCCCACCTCCCAGTCCCTAAAACCTGGTAACCACCCATTTGTCTTTTCTAAAATGTTGTCATTTCAAAATTTTTATATAAATATACAATATCTAACTTTTGGGGATTGATTTTTTTTTTTTTAACTCAAGAGTAATTCTCTGGAAATTGATCCAAATTGTTGTGTATCAATAATTTGCTCCTTTTTATTGCTGGGTAGTTTTCCATGGTATGGATATGCCAGTTTATTTAACCACTTACCCACTGGAAGACTTCTGGGTTGTTTCCAGTTTGGGGATATTATGAATAAAGCTGATATGAACATTTATTTATTTATTTATTTACTGGGTTCCTCTGAGGCGACCAAGTGGACACTGAACTCCAACCTAGAATCATTTATCACTGCTTAATTTGGAAAAAAATTTCTAACATTTACCTTGCTAAAAGCTAATTCTTTATTTCAAACAGAATCAGGTATATAAATAATAATTGGCAGGTCTATCATTTGACACAGGAGAACTTTAAAATACTTTATATTCATTCAGCTTTGTTCTGGCCTAGTAAGTATGTTACAACGGGCTTTAGATTTACATGGAGATAGAGCCTAAATTACAAGTTCCTGAAAACTCTCCAAGTAGCATTTCCTCAACTGTGAGGCAAGAGGCTTGCCGGGACTGATCCTCTACTCCAAAATCCTGACGGGGAAGCAGCGTACTTTGAAGATTTCAGTTCCAACTCTTACCACCAGATGTCACTGTTGCTCATCAGAAATAGGGAACCTCCAGTGACAGACTCATGAATGTAAAAAAACAAAACCTACTTATTCCAATTAAACAAATATTTATTGAATATTTATATGAGCCAGGCACTAGTGCCAGGTGCTTTGGATGAAAAAGATCATCATGGCCTCAAAGATACTAGAGGAGACATGGAAGCAATCACACACCAATGCCCCAGTAACATATAACATTAAGCCAAGGAATCAAACTCTCAGTGAAAATCAACATACCATCTCTTTAAAGTACAACATTGCTTCCTGAGGGATACTTTCTCTGACTCCAACCCTGGGTTAAGTCCCCCCACTGGATGTTACTGCTGCTACCTATACCTAGCATTCAACATGCTTTTTTATAATCACTTAACGATGGCCTTCCCTGCTGGACTGTCAGTTGTGAGGACAGGGCCCTCGCACCGGTCCTGCTGCTTTCCCAAGCTTACCACAGTACTGACGGAAGTAGCGGTCATTTGCTGAGTTTACTTATGCATCAGGTGCTATGACAGGCTCCTTACAGTCACCACTACATTTTATCTTCCCAACGACCCTTAGCCACTGATACTGTCCCTATCTTACAGATGAGGAAGCCATGGCTACTTGACTAGTAGGTGGCAGAACTGTGAACCCAGGACTGACTTAATAACATGTAGTATCACATCCACCTGAGCCACTATTAAGAATTTCCATTATCTGATGCCAATCTATTCATCCAGCTAATTTACCACTCTCTTCCTTGAATAAGCAACCCCACCCTTAATAACATAATGCTCAGTTACCCTTTCAACACTTCACTTTTGTGTGGCCTATCCTCTGGCATTGGTCTAGATCAACTTCTCTCAAATGAGTAATTTAGTTTAACAAATCAATAATGTACTCATCTATTAGAGCAACAATTTTCTGAAAATTGTTCCCAAATTTGTTCTACAGAAGGCTTATCCTTCATGAAACAATTGTTGGGACTACCTACCAGGATCTCCTATCAGGTCTACTGGAACCTGAGAAAATAGTTCCTAGTAATAGCTTTATTTTTAAAGCACTTTTCAAACTCATATAATGACCTATAAGCTATATAGGACTTCTCACTTTATAGCTAAGATTGAGAAAACTTGGATTTGATCCAAGTTATAAAGTCAGTGGTGAGTCAAGACCATGCTGTAACCTCCTGCCTAATTTTATTAATATATGGTAACTGCTGCCACTCCAGTATTAATTTCACAAAGGTCAGCACTGCTAATACCTGTTAGCATCTACAACTTGACTGCCCAGGTTCCAGTCCCAAACCTACACCCCTCTCTAGCTATGTGATCCTGGGTTAGATATTTACACTGTTCATGCCTCAGCCTCCTCCTCTGTTAAATAAGGATCATAGTTCCTACCTCTTAGGGTTGTTAGGAAATCCAAATGACATTATACATGAAAAGCACTCAGAATAGTGTGTGGCACATAGTAAATACTCAATAGATACTATTATTCCTATTTGATAAATATTCTTTAACCATAGTTCCTACCAAAGGTACAAAACATTCTCTCTCTTCTTGGAACTTAATCCTTGTGTTACTTTGAGGAATGATTGATTTTTTCCAAACGGAAATAAATACAAGGCAATTGATGTGTTCACTGACTTTACTAACACTACATTTACCATGTTATCACCATGGAATGTAAATTCAGGTTAGACAAGAAAATTTCACAAGTGTAATAAAGCATTCTGGAATATACCAAACTTTGTGTATAATGTCTGACCAAACCACCTTGCTGATGAATCGTTAATCACTTCAATTATAGGTAATTTGTTAACATTTATGATTCTTACAGAGAAAATAAACAAACTTCATACATTTAAAAAGTGTTTTTCATCTAACCTTTGCATTAGTACTTAAAATACACATTTCTATTTTAAGATAACATTTAAAAATTATTCTAATACAACAGCAGCATAAATATAACTCTGCAATTACAAAAAAAGCTAAACTGGGATCCACAGTTAAGTTATTCTCACGTTTACAAGTATGATTCTGAAATAAATACTACTTCTAAGCAGCTGTTATCGGCTTTTTTAGGTTTGGTTTAAATACATGTATTTTCGGTTTGGGGAAGCTTATTATATTATATTCCATGCACTGTTCTGACAGGGTTAAGAGCCAACCAGCCCTAAAAACTGAAGTACTCAGTCTGCAAAACAGGCAGAAAAAAGTTAAATGGGATTCCTACATAACATCAAAAGCATGTGATATTCTGCAGCAACTGGGAGTACTCAGGATTGACAAACTGTCCTCTTTTTAACTGATTTTATCAGAAGAGTTTAAGAAGGAGCATATTTTACCACTATCAAGTACATTTAAAAGTGACATGTTTCTTTTGTTCTAATTTGACTCCGCTGAATGACCTAGCTAGTTAACTGGTCACTAGTAATTTGGTTACCAGGCAAATCAAGCCTGCAAGAAAGGAAGCCAATATTTAAATTACTGTGTTATTGTGTGACCCATTCAAATGATTTATTTTCAACATAAACATATAAACTCAGTATGAGATGCCTAGCTAAAGCAAGCACCACCAACAAAACCAAGACAGTTTCTCTTCTTCTAAGGTTTAGGCTTTGCCCAGAATTCCTTATACATGGAATAGCCCATACCTAAAGAAAAAAAAAATGTATTAGTTAAACATTTAATATTTTCCACGATATTAAGAAAATTAAAAACAGTTCATAAAATAGCTAAAAGCCTCCTAGCATGCAATATTTACAAGAGGAACAAGACCCTAGGCTGCTTATACTCTTGCCTTCTTAAACTATTTAAATTTCTGAAATTCTTTTTATATAGGTTCCTAAGCAGCTCAAGGCTAGTATGACTAGTTCAGACTACTGAAATATTTGTTTTAAAGATCAATATTTATCTTACAACTTTAAAAGGAGTCACTCTTGCTATGTAACAATAAGTAAAGTCAACGAATTATAAAGCCAATAAAAGAGTGTAATACCTACATCAAAAAAATCTTTTCCAGGGCACCTGGGTGGCTCAGTCGGTTAAGCATCCGACTCTTGATTTCAGCTCAGGTCATGATCTCAGGGTCCTGAGATCAAGCCCCGTGTTGGGCTCTGCGCTGAGCATGGAGGCTGCTTAAGATTCTCTCTCTCCCTCTCCCTCAGCCTGTCCCACCCCTCTCAGGCTCTCTCTAAAAAAAAAACAACAAACTTTTCCACTTCCAAAAATTCAATAAAATAGTAGTCCTATGTCTCTCCCAGATAATGGATCTTACTACCAACCCTATTTACATATCTAGACTCCAGTGAAATTATAAACTCTGTGATGGACAGAATTGCTTTTTCTTTCTTTAAAACACTGGTAAGATGTATCACAGACAGTAAAATTTTGTCACTACTTGAACTATTAATCCAATTTTTATGTGAAAATAGATGTAAGTGACATTTCAAACTACTTCAAAGTCAGCAAAAAGTATCTCCCTTGATTTATAAAACCTATTAATGGGAATTACAAACTTGAAAATTTCCTCTAAGAACCTACCGAGAGTCATTGCTCCCACAACAAAGCCTTGGGCTGCCACACGCATGTGGATCAGGTGAACAGACATTTTAGTATTTCCCCTGCTCTTCAATTTATATAATCCATATGCAACGATTGCTGCAAACCCCGCCATTCCTGTAAAACAAATAGTCACAAGTTTGTCATATGCATGGGGTCAGGGAACCAAGATGACTTTACTATCAATCAGTGTACTTTCTACTATTTTTACAAAGATGTTTCATTGAGACCATTAATTAACTAACATACAAACTGAGTTTTTAATTTTCCCCCTCAAAACCCAAAATCCATAATCGGTAGCAAACAGCAGATTCAGAAAGTTAAGATCATCTTCAAAATGTGGGCTGTGGAGCCAGTAGGTGCTTTAAGAGTGCCAAGGGAACTCTTCCTCTCAGTCCTACTTCCTTCCCTGAAGGGAATCAGGTAACATAGCAGAGACTGTAATAAACCGTAACTGTGAGGGTAAGCTTTTTTTTTTTTTTGAGTCTTGTGAGTCCTTCTAGCAAATCACTGAGACTGAGGGTGGTCGTGGGGTCCCCCACACATTCACTGAAATAAGAGTCAATAAACAAAGGCTTCTGAAGACACACAGAAGAATTTTTATAGAGAGAGTTGTATCAAGCCAATCTTACATATTTCAACATATGAACAAAATATATGAAAACAAATGCTTTCAGATGTGCTTGATGAATGAGTTGACCACACTTCTACTGAGTTAAAGCTTACAACAGACAGATTATTAGAACATCAATGTCAAACTTACCAATGGGAACAAACGGTGCTTCTCTAGCTTTTCGGATAAGTTTAGATCCCTGATCTTCATCGTATGAAGAAAGAGAAACATCTGTGCCGGTTGACATAGTGGCTGAAGAATCCTCCTGAAAGAGAATTTCCAGGAGGTTCTATAATTAAAAGCAACTACTACACTGAATGGCTGGATGTATTTAAAATACTCCTAGTTTCCACATAAATACGTGGTGTGTTATCCATGAAATTTAAAAAGTATATTTTAGAAACTAACTGTATTTTTAACCCACAGCTACTTTTAGGAAGAGTTGTATTTATCCCCCCCCCCATTGTTTTGATGTTTATCCCATACAACCAATCCCTTTTTATTTTTATTTATTTATTTATGTTTAAATAGGCTCCACACTTAGCATGGAGCCCAACATGTGGCTTGAACTCACAACCCTGAGATCAAGAGTCGGAAGCTTAACCGACTGAGCTACTGGGGCACCCCAACCAATTCCTCTTTAGCACCACATCGCCGATAACAGTGAAATTTTTTTTTTTTAATCGAAATAACTTTTGTCAATTAAAATAGTAGCCATTCAGTTGGTTAAGCGACTGCCTTCGGCTCAGGTCATGATCCTGGAGTCCCGGGATCGAGTCCCGCATTGGGCTCCCTGCTCGGCAGGGAGTCTGCTTCTCCCTCTGACCCTCCTCCCTCTCATGCTCTCTGTCTCTCATTCTCTCTGTCTCAAATATATAAATAAAATCTTAAAAAAAAAATAGTAGCCATTGATTTTCTGGCTATTTTCACACTTAGTTAATTTAACGACTTCACTCAAACCAAACCAATACTCCTTACTGCCTCTTCAAAACATGTTGAATATCCTACTAAACACTTTTGAGTGTAGTTTTCATTGGTTACAACTGAGACTGACTTATCGACTCCAACATGCTACATGGTTTCAGTTCTCACCTTTGAATAGCTTCCCCTAGTACATTAAGTGGCTGTTTTGGGGGGGGGGAAAGATTACAGCTGTTCTGAATAACCAAAATTTCTACTTAGCTCATTATTTACTTCTTTATAAGAATAAGCTTTTATTGGGGCGCCTGGGTGGCTCAGTCAGTTAAGTGGCTGCCTTGGCTCAGGTCATGATCTCAGGGTCCTGGGATTGAGCCCCACCATTGGGCTCTCCGCTCAGTCAGCAGCGAGTCTGCTTCTCCCTCTCCCTCTGTAATCTCTCTCGCTCAAATAAAATCTTAAAAGGGCGCCTGGGTGGCTCAGTTGGTTAAGCGACTGCCTTCAGCTCAGGTCATGATCCCAGGGTCCTGGGATCGAGTCCCGCATCGGGCTCCCTGCTCTGCGGGGAGCCTGCTTCTCCCTCTCCAACTCCCCCTGCTTGTGTTCCCTCTCTCGCTGTGTCTCTCTCTGTCAAATAAATAAATAAAATCTTTAAAAAAAAAAAAAAGGGGGACAAAGCTTTTATTTTAAACACTATTGCTAGAAATGCCTCTTTTGAAGCATAATTTACGTTCAACTGAACATAATACAGCGTTTTAGTTTAGTTTTTTTTTTTTTTTTTACTTAGGGTTAGCATTTTTAACATCACTGCAGCAAAAAAACTAAACAACCCTCAGGGTCTTCTTAATGAATGAGTATCTCCTAAGCTTCAGCTCTACTTTCCCTTACAGAACTTACATTCCCTGGACCTCCCTCTTAAAATTCTCTACCTCCATTCTCCCTTTTTCGGTCATCTCTCTTTACACAGGAAGCTATTTAATAGGTGTTTCATCATAATGAGAACATAAATTCAGCTTCACCTTAGTCACAATAAATATGTATATACTTCCTTCTTCACTGAGCTGATTTAAACCGCCCGTAAATGTGATCCATAGATAAAAGAAGGGAGTCAAACACAGTATATTAAGTGTACAAGTCTGATTAGTGTCAGTTACAATAACTTCAAAAGTCAATTGCCCATCCCACTACCTATATAACATCTTACCTCCACCTCTGGGTTTTTCATGTGCATCATGCATCATACTCCCTTCAATAATAACTCTCATTCAACACTTTGCTATTCCAGGAGTGTTAGTAGTAGGTAACACCCTCAAAGAAAATCCAACTCTAGAGGGAGGCGTAGTCCTTAGTTTGAAAGTGAAATCATCCTTCTCAGCCCCCATCCCCATTGGGAAGAATCCAATTCTGTTATCTGACAAAGAAAACCTTAATCCAGAGTTGTACAGCATCACACAGCTAAATAAGAGGAAACTCAGATTCGAACTAGTCTTTCTCTTCTTTTTTTGTACTCCGTTACAGGCTAACTGAATAAACCCCTACTTACTGAGCTTTTATTATATACAAGGTTCAACAAGCTCTAGGTTCAGGACGCTCACTATATATGTGAAGAGTTAAAACAAACACTAAAATAATTAATGGTTAAAAAATTAGATTTTTTTTTTTTTTTTTAAAGGGACAGAATAGAGTATGATTACTTCCAAGAGCATAACAGAGAATGAGAACTGAATTTAGTGTGTGGTATCTTTTAGCTAAAGTAGGTTTGGGAAATATTTGAGACTGGCCTTTAAGAAACTACATAAGTGGACTAGATATTAAACATTTTATTTTAGGCGAGTATATGCTTATTTGTTGCTTTCAAAACGAACCTTAAGCTTCTCAAAGTCATGAGGGTTTATCACAGATCCTCCTTCCACCTTTCTGGCCATGAACCCCATAATCTAATCACATTAAATTTCTTAAAGATGTTCTCTGTACTTCAGTGCCTATGTACAAGCTGATTTCTCTGCCTAACACTTTTCCTCCCTTTTCATCTCCTTCAGACACTTTTTCCTAGCTAACGCCTCTCATTTTTCAGGTTCTTAATTAACTTTCATTGGAAGTCTCCTTTGACTTTCTAAGTATGATCATTGCTTTGATTATGCAGTCTCTAAAATATGCTTTCTCTAAAATAATTCTTTCTTATAAATGCCTGTTCAATTGTCTCTCTTGCTAGAATCCTTGAAGTTAGCAGGCCATACATGTCTTGCCTGTATCTATAGCTCCACTGCTTGGCATGATGCTTTGCATGCAGTAAGCATAGCACAAAATATTTGTTGAATAAATATAAAAATAATCTATTTCAACAATTAAAATTATTGTTAATTTGGGAAAATTTGGTGAAAACAATAACAAGTAAACACATTTGTAGAGTTCAACTGGTCAGTAAGAAAAATGCCAAACTGTAGGTACCTAAGTGCTTATTTAATTTTTGTATTTTATTTATGAAAGAAGATATGAAGATAATGATAGAAATGATAACTTGAGTAGGTCTTAGTTCCTTGCAACCACAAGAGACCAAACTATTATATAACACAATCCACTTTTTAAAACTAGCACCTTCTTGGGGCGCCTGGGTGGCTCAGTCGGTTAAGCGTCTGCCTTCAGCTCAGGTCATGATCCCAGGGTCCTGGGATCGAGCCCCACATCGGGCTCCCTGCTCAGCGGAGAGCCTGCTTCTCCTTCTCCCTCTGCCTGCCTCTCGGCCTACCTGTACTCTCTATCTCTCTGTCAAATAAATAAATAAAATATTTTAAATAAAAAAAAAAATAAATAAAACTAGCACCTTCTTTTGCAGATATATGCATGTTTTCTTCCTTTGCCTTAATTATTCCTAAACTAAGAAGTCATTTGGGAATTATCTTTAAAAACAAGAAAGTCAGTGGTCTTTCCTCTAATCTTTCACCTCTGGATCAGTGTAAATTGTTCAACTGGTCAATGGAGCAGAAGTTTTTTCTCCCTCCTTCAGGAAGGAAGGGGATGGCAATTTCTCTCCTGTATATAAAAGAAGAAAATCCACTCATCTCCATTCCTCACCTATGATAGAGACTCTGAAGTTTGTATGGGTAGGAGATTTGATCTGGTTTTCAGAAAGTAATCCTTAGGGTAATAAGGGTGTGGGGGAAACCATGTGGTCATTATTTGCTTTCAGTGACTAATGATAACCTGTTTCTGATTGAGAACACCTTGTGGCGCATTTGAAGATAAAATTAATAAAGAGGAATATAAAAAGTCCAACACATCACAGATTTATTATACTATACTTCAAATTATATTTTTATACCTAATATACTATATATTCATAACACTCCTTGCATATAAAATTTTGATAATTCTCTTCCTAATTACCATCTGAAAGTTTCCCAAGTATTCATGATTTACAGCCACACAAATTGAAAATGGCTAACTTTTAATGTATCAGGATCAATAACTATGAATCATATAATTTGAGAATAACAACCCAGACAATCGATGCCAGTAGCCCAATTTTACAGATGGAAAAAGGCTATATGAATTGTTCAACATCAAGAATGTATCTCTGGCAGGGGAGGATTAGAACCCAGATCTCCTGATACAGTCCAGAGTTGTTCTGATTGACAACATATTGCCAAAGCATCAGTCTTTTGCTGGTAATATATTTAATCTGAAAAATATTAAAATCCATTCCTGAACAGAAGCCTGCCTTTCTTTCTTTGAATTGTAAAAAATATGCAAGTCACGCCTAAAATTAAATGGAACTTTCTTCCCCAGTGACTTAACTCATCCACCAATTTCAACTGTGCTTTGAACAGATCTTTTTCACTAGCAGGACTTCTAGATTTCCCTTTAATTTTCTCATCTGCCCATAGCAATTGACCCAGATCTCTGCCAAAAAGTTGAACAGGTAGAAAAAGAGGCACCAATGACCAGATGATATTCAAAGCCAATCTGAAAACACTAATTATTCTCTAAACTTAGTAAGATACTACTGCAGACCTTTCCAAATGCATGGGAACCTAGAAAAGATGTCAGGGAAGATGAGCTGCCCAGCATGAGGTGATGTAACAGACTGAAGGGTCTTCACAGCCTGTCATTTTGGTCACAGAACTACTAACAGCAAGGACTTCAAATTTTGATTTTCCATCAGTCACCTGTCAGCTTGTTTAAAATGGCTGCAAAGGCCCCACCCTGGAGATTCTGGTTCAGAGGGTCTGGGGCAGGGCCCAAGGAATCTGTATTTTAAGAAGCCCCCTTCAACTGCTTCTGGGGCACAAGGAACTAAGAGATGCCCTGGTACTCAGGACTCAAACTTGTGCGTCACGCTGGGACCTGGTGCCTCTTCAGTCTGTCTGAACTTTTCCATCCAAACCGGTCAAACTCGAAAGTGCCTGGGTACTTCTGGAAGTATAAATCCTGTGGTGGGGATTACCCGACAGAAGGAACTAGGTGCTGCCCACACCCGTATCTGAGAGAGAAAGGCGAGAAACACTGCCGAATCATTGCAGCTGCTCCCAATTCTAAACCCGCGCTGTTCTCTAACCCCTAACTGGCGGGCTTAGCTTTCTTGGAAGAAATTTAAATTCCGTTACAGATGCTTTATACAGGGCCTGGGGCCTTCTTACCTTCCCAGGGTAGGAGGAAACCCGGGGTCGTGGAGAAGAGTAAGGTCGTGTGGTTTTACGCCCTCAACCTTTCGAGCCGCCCCCCCCCCTCCCGTGACCTTGTCGGGACTCCAAGGCCGGAGCGCTTGCCCTCCCAACCCTTCCTCCTCACCCGCCGCGCGGCCCCGCTCTCCGGAAGGCTCCCGGCTCCGGGTACTATCCGCGCTACCGGCTCCCTGAGGTCGGCCCCAGCCCCCTGCAAGGCTCTCTCATTACCGCCCCCTCCGTGAGTCTTCCCTCTCGGCCACGATTCACTGCACGAGCTTCTACTTCATCCCCTCACCCGAAGGCCATCAGACCCCCCAACTTTCCCTGAACCACGAGGTCGGGCCCGAAACCCGCCAATTCCACCTCGCCCCCTTCAACCCGGGCATCTCCCCCCTCCTCCCAGCCCCGCGGGCGCCACCACTCCCAAGGCGCTCTCGGCCCAGCCAAGCGCTGCCTGGCTTCTTCCCGCTCCGCGGTCGGGTGTCGTCCGCTCCACGACTCCCTCAATCTTCACTTACCTACAACGCTAGGAATTCGGCTCCAGCCGGTTTCTGGCGCTCTCCCACGCTCCCCGTCCAGCCGGCTTCTTCTCGTCCCGCCCACACCTGGCCCTAGCCAATCAGAAGCCAGCGGCCCGCAGGCGAGGGTCCCGGTGGGTGCGTGCGTGTGCGCGATGCGTAAGGCGGGTCCCGGATTGGCTGGGGCGACGAGCGCGGGCGGCGGCTCCGCGTCTCCGGCTCCCGCGTAGGGATCTCGTCATGGGTGAGAGTTCACGGGCAGGGCTTCGCGCGAGCGCTCTTCAGCGCCCCTGGCTCCGACTTCCTCGCGGCTCTTTCTCCTCGTGCAGCGGCGGCGAGCACCGCGAACGTGGCGTGCTCCGAGCGCGGGTGGGGCGGGGCCGGCCATGAGGGGTTTCGGCCGCCGCCGGCCCTTGGGAGACTCGAGGGAGGACGTTCCTGCCTGCGGGGGCGCCAGCGGCGGGGGGGCGACGGAGCCCTCGTCCCGTCCCGTCCCGTTCCGTTCCGTTCCCCTGGTGGTTATGTGCTGCCACGAACGTGCGCTGTCGGGCCTCTCGTGGAGCCTTTCTTGGAGTTTACGTTGTGGTGAGGGGCAGCCATTGGTCGCAAGCATGGGTTCGCTAGAGGAGACCTCACCCAGAATGGGGCCGGGGGTGGTTCTCTGAGGAAAGAAGTGTCAGCGGCCCCTGGTGACAGTGAACTTCCGGAGACAGAGGCCCCAGGCTCGTTGGTATGACAGATAATCATTCAGTATGGCGAACTGATGCAAAGCATCAACGACAGTGCCCTAGGGAATATGTCTGCGACTAAATTACAGTCCCTTAGTAGAACCGCGAATTGAGGCATATTGCCAACGCTGTATCACACAGGTTGGAACTAAGTGCCATGGGCTCCGGATTTTGAAAATCTTTTGTCTCATAATTAAGACACATGTAGAAAACATTCATGCTACACTTGTTCTTAGCCAGAAGGCCGAGAAGCGATGAAAACATTCATGCTATGGATGATGAATTAAAAACCCCATACCTTGATTATATGGAACGCTTTCAGCTGCTTGAAGGCACATATTTTTTTCTGGTTCATGCCCATCTCTCCCAGAACACTGTCTTTGAGCTCAGTAGGAGCCCGGTGATGTTAAATGAAGAAAAGACATAACCGGGCGCCTGGGTGGCTCAGTTGGTTGAGCGACTGCCTTCGGCTCAGGTCATGATCCTGGAGTCCCTGGATCGAGTCCCGCATCGGGCTCCCTGCTCAGCGGGGAGTCTGCTTCTCCCTCTGACCCTCCCCCCTCTCATGTGCTCTCTCTCATTCTCTCTCTCTCAAATAAATAAATAAAATCTTTAAAAAAAAAAAGAAAAGAAAAGACAACCGATGCAGTAATTGGAGGGCTGCAAAAAATAAGTAGGGATGATCAGGGACTTATTTAGGATAATTAAAATGACAAAAGAGCCGAAGAGACTTGAATATGAAAGCAAGTCATTAATAAGTCCTGTGATTCTGGAAATACAAAGGCTAACAGCAGTAGTGAGCATATTCATTCCTGAAGGGGATTTCTATAAATCAAAATAATGTTAGCTAATTTGCTCATTTCCAGAGAATGAGATTTGGGTCGAGGGAAACGGGTGTTAGCCCCAGGCTGAACACGTAGTAGTCATGACCGAGGGTTTTATTTCTCAAAACTTCACTTTCTTCATTTGTAAAACGGAGATAACAGTGGTGCTGGTTAATGAGGAAATATACACGTGGTGTTAGCACAGTGTCTGGCATGAAAAGTGCTTTAGAAGTGCTATTGCTTTAAAAAATTACTGTGCTGTGAATTGTATGGAAAGAGGCAGACCCTGCCCTATTTGTGTGAGAAATTATCTCTTTCTGATTGGTATATAGAAACCAAAATCTTGGTAAATTATAATGATAAATATCTGAAACAATCAGATAATGTAGAAGATTTTTTTATTTTTATTTATTTTTTAGATTTTATTTATTTATCTGACAGAGAGCACACAAGCAGGGGAAGGGAGAGGGAGAAGCAGGCTCTCCATTGAGCAGGGAGCCTGACATGGGGCTCGATCCCAGGACCCTGTGGATCACCGACAGCCACCCACGTGCTCCTGTAGATTTTTTTAATAGAAATTATTCTGCTGCACTTTATTCCATATTGTGTTACAAGAAAAGGACAGTGACAACTGACAAACCATTACATCTTTCATAATGTAGACATAATTGGTAACAAATGTACATCATGTATTATTTCATTCTCCTTACTCTGTCACTTAGAAGTATAATTGATGCAGAAGACATTAAAAAATTATTTGGTTTCTCGTGTATTAAACTAACCCACTTGTAGTTTATGGAAGGGAAGACAGCACAGAAGTATCTGCCTATTTTGTTAATTTCTCCTCTTTAAAGAGCCTTTGTAACTTCTCATGTTCCAAGTAGCAGTCTACACATGATCATCTCTACTACAAGAGAAATGGGATTCTAAACTCAGATGTCTTTTTAGGCTGAGGCCCAGCTTAAAGGTACATTACCTTGTACCTTTATCCTTGTATCCTTCTTAAAACTGCTTTGTGATCTTTGTGGAATTTTGTCTAAACCAAATGTTAAACCTTTTGAGCAAATTGGTAATATCCACAGATATTTTTAAAACCAGAGTTAAAAGTCCGCTTCAGCAATCACTGGACATGTATATTGTGTTGGGTACTATACTGGATTCGGAAGTTAAAGACTTAGTCCCTTCTTTGAGATGATTTATAATCTTTTTAGGTAGAAGGAACAGGTATAGAAAAACATCAAAGACAGTTTGTGGTAAGTGCTTTGAACGCAGCTTCAGGTAGATATCCTAGTGAGTGTGCAGTTTCAGAGAAGGCTTCTTGGGACTGGGGCTTGGGTGAGTGAACTTTGAAGAATGATTAGCATGTAAATAAGTTGGGAGACTATTCCAGAAAGAGGAAACAGTGGGCAGAGGAATAGCAGTAGACTATAGGATTGTAGCTCTAGCATGGACAATGAGTGGGGAAAAGGCAAAAAAAAAAAAAAAAAAAAAAAAAATTGTGACTAAAGCAGAGTCAGAATAATGGGAAGTAGGTTTAAGCTACATGGGAGAGGACTTTAAACGCTAATTAACTTGCACAGTATTCTATTAGGTGGCCCTTGAAGGTTTTGGAGCAGGATGTTGACAGGAATACATTTGAGGTAATTTGTAGTGAAGTAGAATGGATTAGAAAGGGAATATCAGTATTAGCCAGAAAATTAAAAACTATTCAGTATATAGTTCATTGTATTATTTGTACTGAGTCCACATCCTTTGTCTCAAGGATATGGAAGGAAGGCTGCTACATGCAGGGGCGTCATCCCTCTGTCCTCCTGGACAAGGATTACTGCTTTGAAAAAGCAATAATCCTTACAAAGCAATTCCCAGGGAGAACTGTCAAGGCCCAGACCATCATAAAATTCCACGTTAGAGGACCGCCCTGCTGCGCCACTCATAATATTCTACAGTTTTGTACCTTTACACTTTGCAGAGTCATGGAATAGTACTTAAGCTGTTTGTTTTAAATAAAAACTTACCAGGCACATTAATAGCATGTTTTAAAGTTTTATTTATTGATTTTTTTAAAGATTTTATTTATTTATTTTGACAGAGAGCACAAGCAGGGGGAGTAGCGGAGGCAGAGGGAGAAGCAGACTCCCTGCTGAGCCTGGAGCCTGAAGACCCTGGAATCATGACCGGAGCTGAAAGCAGACACTTAACGGACTTAGCCACCCAAGTGCCCCTAAAGTTTTATTTAAAACTAGCCCACAAGGTAGGAGCTAACAAACAAAAGAATCTCCCGTGGCAAACAAACAAAAAAAGAATCTCCTGTGGCAAAAAGTGATTGGGTCCCTCCCTGGACTGCTTATGCAAGTCTTTCAAGAGTTTTGTAAGAAATGCTATTTTTTTTCCCCAGAAGGAGCAGCTGCTGATCACGTCAGACCACCATGTTCTGCTCGGGTATGACAGTTTCTCTTGTTCACAACTTACACATTTCAGAACGTTAAGTCTGAGGTACCTAGTCCATTGCTCTGCCCTTTAGGAAGTATAGTTCTAAAATGCAATCTCAGAACTCTCCAGAGGGAGGAAAGTCACAACCACCTTTTAAATTTTATGAGACGCAGTATAATAGTGTTTAAGACCACAGACTCTCGAGCTTGCTTTGCTGCTTACAAGCTATGTGATACTGAGCAAGTTACTTAATCATTCTATGCCTCAGTGTCTTCATTTGTACAATAATAGGACCTACATAATAGGACTCTTGGGAGGCTCAAATGATATGTAAAACTGCAACATTGCCTGGCATATATAATAAGTGCTATATATGTTAATTATTATGACATTTTTGGTTTTGTTTTTGTGTGTGAATTCCTATCAGTTCAGCTTATCTAAGCTGTAAACACAACTAATAGTTTCACTTGTGTGTATGTGTTTGCGTGGTTTCCATTTTTAAAAGTCTTTTGGTTACAGAGGATTTGCATAAAAATCATAAGTATAAGATGCACACAACCAGACTTTAGGAGAGCAGAAGCAAGGAACTATCAGACGCCTTTCATCTCTTCAGTTGACACTGTCTCCTACTTTTATATCATTGGTTTCATTCAACCATGTAAAATATTTTTCCTATTAGTAATCAATATGGCAGTAGGATTTGTGTGTTTAGATAGTGATATTTTCTGTAGTGAACAAACATATATTATACTTTAAATGTTTTAGTCTTGAATTGATTTTTCCACTAATGCACTTAGTATTATTTGTTATTGTTGTTCCAGGCAGGAACATTCTTCTTAACAAGTACCAAGGGGGAAAAAATGTGGTGGAGTGGAAGGGGGACTGGCCTGTCCCCCCAGGATTGCTACATGCATGTAGTCAAAAGACATGGATTTGAATGCTGACTTGAATGCTTCTTGACATTATGACCTTAAACAAGTTACTTAGCCTGTTGGAACCTCAACTTTTCATCAACAAAATAGAGATATTAATAGGTACCTGATAGGGTTACACTGTGTGATCTAAATAACCCTATATAAGATACCAAGAACAGTGCATGGAACAATAGACACTCATGAGTTCCCCTCTCTAAACTAGCCCCCTTCCTCTTGCTGCCATATTCCTCAGCAGTAACCAGCAAAGTATCTTAAATTACTTCTCTAGACCTCTTAAGTTTCCTGAACCATGCTACTAAGTCATCCTTTTATTTATCTTTGCTCAGCCTCACCTTTCATTCCCCTACTAACCATTTCCACAGAGAGCACTGAGAACTTCTCTCACCTGTCCCTTTGCCCCCACCTCTGGACTTACCTGCATCCACCTCAGTCATTTCTCCTGGTCTTGGGCGCCTTTCTCCCACTGAACACCAATCACCCCTGTACTGGATTCCATCATTTCTTGCCACCTCAGCTGTCAACTGTTTGCTCTCTCATCTGTAATTTTGCTTGTTCTCTCTTGTTACAGGCTTCTCATACCCAAGATTCTTCTGCTTATAAAAAGCCTCTTTGTAGCTTCTTAATCTTTTCTGTAGTTATTGCTCTATTTTCTCTCACCCTGGCTTGGGAGAAAAAAATATATACATATTATTTCCACATCACTCTTCGCTTGACCCACTGGTTTCTATTCCTGTCACACTACTAAGACTACAATAGTGAAGGACATCATTCAGTGGATATAATTCAGTTTCTCCACACATATATGACTTGACTACCATACTTGATACCACGAATCTTCTCTTGACACCTTTCTTTTGATTCTTGCAATCTGGCCATTCTTTCTTAGTTCCTATCACTGAATTCACTTCCTCTGTCCCTTAAATGTTGGTGTTTTCCAGGATTCTGTTCTCACACTTTCCTTCTTACTCTCTTTTCTCCTCTTGGGATGATCTCATGTACCCTCATTGTTTTTCATTCTCATCTATATACTGATGCTCTCTTGTCCTCTCTCTGCCTGAGCTCTAGAACTCTAGATTCAATTGTGTGTTGGACGTCTCTACCTCAGTAGTCCACAGATGCCACAACATGTCCATAAATGAATTAATCATGTCTTTCCTCTCCTTCCCCCTACTCTGGACACTCCCCTCCTGATAAGCCTATACTTTCTCCTCAATTTCCTGAGTTGGTTGGTGGAACAGCTATCCATCCCATTAACCAAATATGAAACCTGGATCAATCCTTTGTTGACACAACTTCCTCCTTTCTCCACATCCAGCCAGTGACATCTGAGCAGAGAGCTGAATGACGAGGGGCCAGCCCTATGAAGCTCTGGGGGGGAATATCTAAGGCAGAGATGAGACTCTGCCTTTACTGTCATAGTAATGTGCTCTGACCAAACTGGCCCAGGTTTGCCTGACTCCTGTATGCAGTGATGTTAAGAGAATTATTTATACAGGAAAGCTCTTAAACAGATCAAATAAGGAAATGCATTTACATCATCTTAGGGTAGAACACAAGACTGTTTTCACTGACAATATTTTCAAACAAAAAGCTGCGAGGTTGTCACTAAAAAATGGATCTTAGATTCATTGCAGCTCCTCAAATTCCTTTTTTGTTCTTTGGGAGAGGGAGCAGGGGAGATGGGCAGGTGGGCTGGGCAGGCACAGACCTCCCCTAACTTAGCTATATCTCTCCTGCCTATTGGCTTTGTTTTGAAGACACTTGGATTTGGGATTAACAACACAATCATTCCTTCTTAAAAATTTATATAATTTTATATTCCATATGTTTTGTTATTAAATATGCCCTTTAATAGAAAATATTCAGTTTTGGGTTTTATATCCTGATTTTTTAAATTAGAAAACTTATAATCTTATATAATCTATATAACTAAAAAGATTGCCTTATTTTTATGATCTGTATTTTGCACAGATATGGAACTAGGTTATACGAAAACACAATTGATTACTGGAAGCAAAAGCTTTCTGTTTATCATAAGCAAATAGCTCTTTCCATCAGAAAGGATAAACGTGATCTTCTCCCTGGGCTCCCTCCCTAGCTGCTTGCTGGCACTTGATACGATGTTGAGTACTGTGGTTATATGTGAACGTTGGGTTGCCAGCACCATGGCAGCAGAGCCTCTGTTACAGAGCGATCTTTGTATCGCCCACGGCGCTAGCCTAGTGGTGTCCTGCACATAGGAGGCCTCCAGTAAGTACTGGCTGAATGACTCAAGGTTGTCTCTTTGCAGAGGTGAGTACCTGAGTTCAGTGACACGAGCTGCATTTCAGCTACTGGGGCTGCAGTAGCCAGGCGGGGCCTGTGGGCTCCTATGGCTTCTGAATTCTCTTGGTCACCCACCCTTTACACGGTCGTCCTGTCACAGCCCCCCTCGCTTCTCCCCCACTGCCTTGGATACTGATTGCCTCTCGGCTTCCCCTCACTCTGTCTCTCTCTCAACAATGATTTAGGGCTATTTTTATAGTCTGCTAATTCTCTGAGAATGAGGTGCCTCTTCTGGGAGCCACTGCCATCCTCAATGGCACTGCAAATAGGTTTTTGTTGACTGATCTCCAGGCTCTCCAAGTCATTTTGCCCTCACCCTGATTACAAGGCACCATCTGTTTGCCTCGATGGCTTAATGAATCAAGGGCTCATAAATGTATCCGATATCTAAAATGATCCAAATCACAGTGAGGACAGGATAATGGTGTCCTTCACCAGAAATGGATGGACAGTTACTTTTATAGCTTTGCAGAAAAACGGATATGCAGACACTTCACCCAAATTGGTGGCCCTGAGTTACTCTCCCTGTGCTGATGCTTCTGCTCAGGGACAGGAACCTGCCTGCCCTGTTTCAGGAGACACAAGAAGAGAAAGATTATCTGTCTGACCCATGTTCACTCAGTGAATCAGCAGTCAAGTACTAGCCATAGTCCTTCTGCCACTTTGGTTTATAAGGGTCAGAAGAATTTTTCAAGCATGAAAAATATTAGAATAACCATTAAAAACGTGAGCTAGTAACCTTGGCCTGTTGCCTAGTGTAATACGGCTGTTCAGAGGGAAATCCCGTGCAGTGAGACAGCTGATTGTGGTTGTGTGTACTACAGGGTGATTTCTGTAGAAATTGGGTGGGTTGTTAAGTAGTTTTAAAAGATTTATTACCACTTCTGGCTAATTTGTTCTTACAGTTAGCTGAGATCTGGAATCCTTGTGATCCATGGGGTACAGTGAGTGAGTTGTCTCCGACTCCCTATTACCTGCAAGTATCTCACACCAGAAGCAAGCAGAGCTACATGCAGCTGCCCAAACAGCCTGCTCTATCCCGACACATGCTCTGTGCCTACCGTTCTCTAGGCACACTGCTATGCTCTCGACACATTCATGTCTCTGATCATGAAAGCGGCTCTATCACGTAAATATTGCTATACCCATTTTACACATGAGGAACCTGAGGATCAGCATAATTAACTTGCTAGAGTTTCCACAGAGGCAGAGGCAGGATTTAAACCCATTCCTGTTTAGCTCATGCTCTTTCTAGAATGCTCCATTGCCTTGCAATGCTCTTTTCTCCTGCTTGTTCTTATTCTGAGTCTAACCTTCTGTTTCCCTGTCAGAATCCTTATCAATCACAAGTGTTTTTTGAAATATAAAAATACATGTATGTGGGCGCCTGGGTGGCTCAGTCAGTTGAGCATCTGCCTTCGGCTTGGGTCATGATCTCAGGGTCCTGGGATGGAGCCCCATGTCAGGCTCTCTGCTCAGCGGGGAGTCTGCTCCTCCCTCTCACTCTCCCTCTGTGCTCTCTCTCTCAAATAAATAAAATCTTTAAAAAATATATATGTGTGTGTGTGTGTGTGTATACACAAACACAATGTGCTTTCATATCTATATGCCTATATAGTTAGATGTGGGTATTTATAGGCAGATATAGATATAAATAGATATATAGATATAAATAAATAAATGAGGAACAATAAACCCCTCAAATGTTAATGGTCATTTTATCTGAGTAGTAGAATAATTTATGATTTTCATTTCTTCTTCGTGTTTTTCCATACTTCTCAAACTAAATATTACTGTGATCAGGAAGGATTTTTTTAAATCTTTCACATGCTTTCAAGTTCATATGCTACTGCCTTTGTGAGTAAAATCTTTCCCAATCTCCTGCTACTTCTTCCTCTTTTAAAACACGCTCCCGTTCCCCAGCACTTTGTATTGTCTTGGGACATTTCTAGCATTTTGCTTTGTATTCTGTGTAACCTCAGTTTGCCAAGGCCCCACAAACTCATAGAGTGGAAGAGTCAGGGAGGCACAGTAATGATAAAAATGGTAATTAACAGACTAGTTCTTGCTCCAGTCTGCACCCTCATGAAGGCTAGAATCTTCCTGCTGTATCTACCATCCCAGACTTTGGTCTCTTCCCATCCCTGCAGTCTTGGCTGTGTCTCCTCCACACTGCTGTTCCTGTGACATGAGTCAGCCATCATGCTCAGTCTGCTGTTTGTTTGTGATGCTGTCCCCTCTCCTATCATTCAGTACCAAGCTAGGCCCCGTTATTCCATCAGGCCTCACATGGGCCAGGCTATGCCTCTACTCTCCATCACTTTACTAAAGTGGGACCATCTCTTCCCACCCAGGTTGTCCTTTTTAAAAGTTATCCCCCTTTCCCTCATGTTCTTAATCTCTGATAAAACCTATTGCATGATGACTCATGTTTTCCTGCTTCTTAATGTACCCCCTCCCCTGTCCCCTTGCCTATAAGAACTTGCACTAAGATTAGGTCAGGAGTCAGCTTAATCGGGCCCAATCCTTCCCTTTCAGTCAGGGGCCCCATACAGAAGGGTGAATAACTGCTCTCTCTCCTCTGGGAGATCAAGGTGTGATTTCATTCTGTAATTTATTCAAGTGTCTCCCTCCTGGGTAGCTTGTTAGACTTCATCTCACCAGTCATTCCCTTTCCAGGGAGGCCTGTCTGTGGCTCCCAGGACTGGAAGCTGGTGACCTGCTCTGACGAGCCATGCTTGGATAGATGAGCACAACCAACCCTGCTTGGGCTGTCAGTACGCTGTGCCCTCTTCTAAGCTTCTCCATTGGCTTCTAAGACCCTTAGAGAGGAGCCGAGGACCATTCAACTTGTACACTCTGAAGCTGCTAGCACGGTTGCATAGGATGGCAAGAGCTCCATTAATTTTTGTGGAATGCATTACTGAAATCTATTGAATTTTGTGCTCTGCTTTTCTCCCTTATTATCACAGCAAACAACCAGATAAAGGTGATTAGTCCCACTTTGTTCTATACGAAGTATATCACACTGATTCTGATTTTGTGACATATTTGAGTTTTAAAACATTGAGATATAATTCACACACTGTAAAATTTACCCCTTTAAACTTTATAGTTCAGTGGTTTTTAATATATTCAAGGAAGTTGTATAACCATCACCACATCACTGCTATCTGATTCCAGAACAATATTCCATCATGCCAAATACGGGTGACATTCTTTATCACTCCCCGTTACCCTCCCTACCCTAGATCCCTCCAAGAACCACCAGTCTCTTTTCTTTCTCTATAGATTTGCCTGTTCTGGACATTTCATAAAAATGGAATCATAGGACATGTGGACTTTTGTGTCTGGTTTCACTTTGCACAATGTTTTCAAGGTTCATACATGTTGTAGCATGAATAGATGTTTCATTACTTTTTAATGGCTAAATAATATTCCACTGCATGGATATTCCACATTTTTGTTTATCCATTCATCAATTGATGAACATTTGGATTGTTTCTTCTTTCTGGCTATTATTAATAAAGTTATTGGGAACACTCATGTACATGTTTTTTTTTTTTTCCTCAGGACATATGATTGCAATTTTAGGGGGTATATGCCTAGGCGGATCATATGGTAACTTTATGTTTTAACTTTTTAAGGAACTGCCAAATTGTTTTCTTTTTTTTTTTTAAGATTTTATTTATTTATTTGACAGAGAGATAGAGAGAGAGCCCAGATAGTCAGAGTGGAAGGCAGAGGGAGAAACAGGCTCTCTGCTGAGCAGAGAGCCTGATGCGGGGCTCGATCCCAGGGCCCTGGGATCATGACCTGAGCTGAAGGCAGACACTTAACCAACTGAGCCACTCAGGCGCCCCTAGGAACTGCCAAATTGTTTTCTAAAGTAGCTGCATCATTTTACATTCCCAGAAGCAATGCATGAGGGTTCCAGTTTCTTCACATCTACACCAACACATGTTATCATCCTTCTTTTGATTATAACTATCCCAGTGGGTGTGAAGTGGTATCTCATTGTGGTTTTAATTTGCATTTCCCTGATGGCTAATAATGTTGAGTTTCTTTTCATGTGTTCATTGGTCATTTGTTATTTGGGGGGGTGGAAATGTCTATCTAGTTTACTGCATATTTTTCTCATGTGTTAGAGGGTGAGGGAGGAACAGTAAAGTATCCTTCAGATTGACACTGGTAATTTGTGCCCTTCCCATACCAGCAAAAGGCCTATGTAATCTATTTGCCAGTGAGACACAGGGCATGTAATCTGCCCAGTATGCCCGGGGGTATTGGCACAACAGCCCTTGCCTGAGGTGGCATTGGGGGCAGTTTGTCAACAACTCGTAAGTTGGAATATTTAAAAGGCCAATGTAATCTTTTTACTATTTCCCAAGTAGTTTGGGGACCTCAATGCCCTGATTTACAGTGGACCCAGGCTACTGCATCAGACAGAGTCAGCTTTCCCTCCAGCAGAAGGGCTCTTGCCCAGGCTAGCGCATCTACTTCGTGATTGCCTGGCAGTGTGGGTGGGGAGTGAGCGGACACGTGCCATACTTGGACAGCTGCATCAGGTTCAGTGTTTACACCCCAAATATCTCTCCAGAGGTCTGCTCCCCACAGGGCTCTATTTAATACAGCCCAGCTTCTTTTGTGCCATTGCAGCATCCACGTTGTCAGCCTTTTCCACACTGCCCAGCTATCAGTAGCCAAATTGCAAATCGGTGGGCATGGGTTCATGTGTCAACACCATCCATAACACTCTCAACTCTGCCCACTGACTACTTTGTTTAGTTCCTTCTTCAAACCAAAGTACATCAGAATCTAGTTGGATGGCAGAGGAACGCCTAATAGGCAGGTTTCCCTGGCATCTGCCATCAGTATTCCATGTGTCCTCTGCAGGTGAGCCTACTCCTTCCTTTGCTTGAGGGTGGGGAGGCATAATGTCAGCAACTTCTGGAAGTTGGGCTGAGTTGACATACGTGACCGGCCCTTGTAATGAGCATGGTTCATGAGATAGCGGGCCGGTATTTTAAGTGCTCCTATGCTGTAGGTAAGTGTGCCATTTTTGTAAGGTGCTTACCTGGGCACAGGCACACTTATATTAGCTGAACATGTCCTTAATCCATCCTCCTATCAGCAGAGAGGTTCATATCACCTCTGGCAGGTCAGCAGTCAGTCCTTTCCTGTGTTGTGGCACAAGATAGACAGCATCTGGTTTCTTTTAAATTTCTTGAGACTTGTTTTATGGCCTAACATGGTCTGTCCTGGAGAATGCTTCATGTGCACTTGAGAAGAATATGCATTCTGCAGTCATTGAGTGGAGTGTTCTACGTATCTGAGTTTTTAGTTATTCACTTTTCACCTGTTAAAACACTAATCATCCTTTGAGTCCCAGTCCAAGGGATCTCATCTGTCAAGTCTTCCTTAATACATCTTACCAGCTAAAAATGTACAGTTTCCTTGTTTGAACTTCCGTCACCCATAACTGTGGTATATGGGTAGGCCAACACCCATAACAGTGTTATAAATTCTGTTATTACAAGTCAGTCTTGCTAAACTCTGATGTTTGGGTTTCTTTTGTGTAGGGACCATGTCTTAACTTTATCTCCATATCCCTGAAACCTTACTTCTAATAGTAACTTTAAAGCATGCCATTGAAAGGATGAAACAATATGGTGGCTATTGAACCCCTCTTAAATGCTAAGCTCTAGGCTATATACTGTAGAGACTAGAGCAGAAGAAATGCAGTGTGCTCTGCCTCTGGAGAACCTGAAGCTTAGTTAAGAAGACTGCACCTACACGAGAAACCTTTAACACAGAATCTGACCAAGTGCCAAGACAAGGGCTCTAGGAGTTTCGGCTTGTCCTCTTTGTCTCTCTCCATGCATAGGAAAGAGTCTCATAGAGTTTTGAGGTTGGAACAACCATCCGGACTGCTGATTTCCAGCCATCGGTCAGTGTAGAATCCTCAGGCAGCTGATCATCCAGCTTAGACATGCCTCCACTTAGACACTCTCACCTACAGAGTGAGGCCTCTACACTCCCCACTCAGGACTTGATGATGGTTGTTTGCCAACTTTGGGCAGTGAGAGAAAATCAGATTGCTTTTTAGTTAGATGTATGTACCTTTCAATCTTTGCCATAGAAGAAACTATAAGCCTGAAAGAAGGCATGTAAAGTCAACAAGGAAAGGAAAGAGCTCTCATCAAAAGCTTGAATCCCCCATCCAAGTACTAACCAGGCCTGATCCTGCTTAGTTTCCGAGATCAGACGAGATCAGGCGTGTTCAGGGTGGTATGGCCTTGGGGACGGTATGTGCTATGGTGAGCGCTGTGAATTGTGTAAGACTACTGAATCACAGACCTGTACCTCTGAAACAAATAATACATTATATGTTAAAAAAAAAAAAAAGAAGAAGAAGATAGCAGGAGGGGAAGAACGAAGGGGAGGAAATCGGAGGGGGAGATGAACCATGAGAGACTATGGACTCTGAAAAACAAACTGAGGGTTCTAGAGGGGAGGAGG